GTCTCGCACAAAAGAGCGAAATGTTTAGAAAGCCATGTAAAATTAATGCAAGTTCAACTTTGAAAAAACACATCTCGAGACTTTATAGCAGGGTTTTTTCCCATCCCACTGCAACTTTCATTTTTTAAATGAAAAATGTACTCTGTGTGATTGGCTTTCGGCCCTTTGTATTAAACTATGAATACATACATGATGCTGTTTTGTTTATAGTTGTTTAAGCAACTTAATTATAATTGGTTTATAAACATTATTTTAAACATTATGCACTTTTTTTCCACAGATAGTCATGTTATCTTACGCTTTGAATAAACGTGCATTAGTAATATTTTGCTCGATGCGCCCTCTTGTGGCCTCAGAAGAGAAGCCAAAAGCTTTTCTTCACCCTAACTGAAATCATGCATTTTAAATTTGAATAGAATTCAAATTTTGATAACATTTAAGTACAAAATTTGAATTTAGTCTCGCACAAAAGAGCCACATGTTTAGAAAGCCATGTAAAGTTAATGCAAGTTCAACTTTGAAAAAACACATCTCGAGACTTTATAGCAGGGTTTTTTCCCATCCCACTGCAACTTTCATTTTTTAAATGAAAAATGTACTCTGTGTGATTGGCTTTCGGCCCTTTGTATTAAACTATGAATACATACATGATGCTGTTTTGTTTATAGTTGTTTAAGCAACTTAATTATAATTGGTTTATAAACATTATTTTAAACATTATGCACTTTTTTTCCACAGATAGTCATGTTATCTTACGCTTTGAATAAACGTGCATTAGTAATATTTTGCGTGATGCGCCCTCTTGTGGCCTCAGGAGAGAAGCCAAAAGCTTCTGAACTAACTGAAATTATGCATTTTAAATTCGAAAATAATTCGAATTTTGATAATATTTAAGTACAAAATTTGAATTTAGTTTTTCTGCTATTTTGACAGCCCTAATGAACACTCTTATTTTCCTCTTTATCTCTGTGAAGCTGCTTGGACACGATCTGTAATGTATATATATATATGACTTGATTATGATGAATAACTCTGTGTTTCTCTCTTTCTGTAACAGCGGTGCTTCAGGTGTCAATATCACTGAATAAAGTGGAACTGAGTGTTGGAGAGTCAAAATTCTTCACATGCACAGGTAAGAACGAAACCTGCTGACATATTAACATACTTGACTAATCACATGCACGTGGTTTTAAAATATACATCTCAATAATCCATCACAACAGGATCTGAATGTTTTTGCAATGTGCCTTAAAAGTAAATACACTACAGTTCAAAAGTTAGTTTTTATTCATGTTTTTTTGAAAGAAGTCTCTTCTGCTCATCAGGTCTGCATTTATCTGATCAAAAATACAGTAAAAATTGTGAAATATTATTATAATTTAAAATAGCTGTTTTCTATGTGAATGTATGTTAAAATGTAATTTATTTCTGTGATCAAAGCTGTATTTTCAGCATCATTACTCCAGTCTTCAGTGTCACATGATCTTCAGAAATCATTATAATATGCTGATACTCACTTAAAACATGATCAAAGGAGCCAATTGTTTTAAAAAGAACATGCAAAAATCATGAATGGTGACTTCTGGTGTTGCATCATGGAAGCAAATGGAAAAACATCACCTCAGTGAATCCAGCAGATTGAAGCTCCGCTGTTTTGTCCTCAGCTCTCCTCTCCTCATCTTTCTAATTCTGTAACTCGCTAACAAGCATCTCCTCGTCCCTCCTATGTGACTCGTCCCAGCGCTCTCGTGGAGAGGTTAGAGAGTTCAGGCCCCTCTGATTGCAGACTCCCACATGGCTGCTTTATGACCTTCAGCCGAGCAGCTTTACAGAGCAGAGCACCTGGAGTTTGCATATGGCGCTCGCTCGTTCTCCATGTGGCCCCTCATTAAAGCCAACATTGGCCAGAGCTAAAGAGCTGTCGCAAATTACAACGTAAACCAGATCGGAAATGAGATGTTCGCTCAGATGCATGGGATTTTTCATGCAGGAATTGTTTTATGGGAGTATGCATGTGAGGTTTTACTTCTAACTGTGTTAATAAATGCCTATATGTTGTAGGGGTTGAACGACTTCTGATCTTTTAAAGTCGACTTTTATGTGATGAAAGTCGAAGTCGACTAGTCGCTGATGACGTCATTAATGAACAAATGAATCTGATAAACACCTTGTGCACAGCTATGGCATATGACACAGCGCTGCCCACATGGCTATTGCTCCTATAACAGCTCATTTTTATCAGTTCTTTTGTCTTTGGGTCGTTATACTTCTCACAGATTTCTGCTCGTTCTAAATCAGATACAGATAAAGTAGCACAGTAAATATTACATGCATATGAATGCATTAGTGAGAGCGAATGCGTGTGTGAATTAATTCTACCTGGCAGCGTCTCTCTACTAGTAGTGAAGCTGTGGGATTTAGTTATTAAGAAATATATGCTTGAACTTTTCAGTTTCTAAGCTATTTTATTGAGAAATCACAGAACAGTGTTGACAATACATTTCTGCGCTGAATGATTCTGTGCGCGTGATGTACGCGCTACTGTCTGAAGCCTATGTGTGTGCGTTACAGTGCAGCAGCGCATTAGATTAGAACGGCGATTAACTTACCTGTACAATAAGCTGTTTAAAACGTGCATTCTCCCGTTCAATTTCGAGCATCCAGTAATATAAT